CTGTTGGAAAAGATTCGGGAGGCCCAGCAGGAGGTCTTGAAGGAAGAACATCGGAAGAGCGAGCGGATTGTGGGTCAAGCTTCCTCTTTTGACTATGATATCCGGGGGTTGTTGACTTTGCACCGTAAGGTGTGGTTCCCATATCATGGGGGTGTGCACCAGGGATTGATGGAGGAGGCACACAAATCTCGATTCTCCATTCACCTCGGGGCGACGAAGATGTATAAGGATCTTCGTCTGGACTATTGGTGGCCCTACATGAAGCGGGATGTGGCATGGTACGTAGAGCGGTGCTTAACATGCAGGAAGGTCAAGGCCGAGCATCAAAGACCTCACGGCAAGATGTAGCCGTTGGATATTCCGCTGTGGAAATGGGAAGACATCACGATGGATTTTATCACTAAGCTTCCAAGGACCGTGTGAAAGGAATGGATTCGATATGGGTCATCGTCGATCGATTGACCAAGAGCGCCCATTTTATCCCGATTCAAGAGAGCATCTCGGCTGAGAAGTTGGCCGACATCTATATCCAGGAGGTGGTGGCGCGGCACGGTGTGCCAATTTTTGTGATTTCAGATAGGGATGTGCTGTTCACTTCTAGGTTTTTAGAGGAAGTTTCATAACGAGTTGGGTACTCGTCTGCATTTTAGCAACGCCTTTCACCCGCAGATAGATGGACGGAGTGAGTGGACCATCCGGAATTTGGAGGATATGTTGTGGGCGTGTGTCTTAGACTTCGGAGGTAGTTGGGATACTTACCTTCCTTTGGCTGACTTCTTGTACAACAACAACTATCACGCGAGTATTGACCATCCTCCCTTCAAGATGTTGTATGGGAGGAAGTGCAGAACCCCGATATGTTGGGGTGAGGTTGGTTAGAGGGTTATGGGGAGTACCAAAGTGGTACTCAACACTACAGAGAGGATTCAGCAGGTACGGAGCAGGCTTCAGACGGCTCAGAGTCGGAAGAAAAGTTATGCAAACAAGTGCCGATCCGACTTGGAATTTTGGGTCGGGGATATGGTCTTCCTAAAGGTGTCACCTTGGAAGGGTGTCATTCGATTCAGGAAACGGGGCAAGTTGGGACCTAGGTATATTGGACCTTTCTGGGTTGTAGCCCGGGTGGGCAAGGTGGCATATAGACTGGATCTGCCAGCCGAACTCAGTCAGATTCATAGCACCTTTCATGTTTCCCAGTTGCAGAAATGTTTGGTGGACGATTCGGTAGTAGTTCCTTTAGAGGACATTCAGGTTGATGACAGCCTGATCTACATCGAGCGGCCAGTGGCGATCCTTGACAGGATGTCAAAGGATCTGAGGAACAAGATAGTGGAGCTGGTAAAGGTGCAGTGGCAGCACCGAAAGGGCTCGGAGTGGACTTGGGAGCCGGTGGATGAGATGATGGAGCTTTACCTAGAGCTTTTCCAGGAACAAGTAGCAAACTTCGAGGACGGAGTCTAAAATAAGTGGGGGAGATTTGTAACACCTGGTTCCTGGTACGTATTTTTAAATTAAGTATTTTGCATTTTGTCCTAGGACTCGATGAGTTGGTGGTCCAACTCATCGAGTAGAAGCGGTTTGGACACGGGAGTTAAGTGGCTGACTCGGCGAGTCAGAGATCGGACTCGACGAGTCCGTGTTGTCTAGACAAAAACCCTAATATAAGGGTTTGCACCCCATATAAACGCCTTAACTCAGCCTCCCTTGTCCCTAACACTCTCCTAGAGCTGCATATCAAAACCCTAGCCAATTGTGTGTGTGTTAAGGCCCTTTTGGTGCTTTTGTTGACTTGTGAAGCTTGGAAGGAAGAAGAGGAGCTTGAGTATCCGACTTGGGGCTTGTGGATCTGGAGATCTCATTCCATCTTCAGCTTAATCAAGGTAAAATGCTCCTGCTTTGGTCTTTTATTTTGTTGTTCATCTTTATATTGTAGATCTTGGGTGCATTTAGGGCTTTCAAGCCATTTTCGGATTTAAGGAGTGTTATGTGGACTCTAGCCTTCAGATTTGGGCCTTAAGAGGGGTCTCATGGCATAAAGGTGCCAACTTTAGGGCCATGAGAGCCCCATGCACATTGTAGGAAACTTTATATGGAATTTTTGAGCTAAAAACCCCATGCATGTGCATCAAGTTTGGAACTTTACGTATAAAATAGACATTAGGAGGCCAGATTTATGGTTTTGGTGTGTTAGACCTCATTTAAATCGACTATATGGAGTTGGTCAAGGTTGGACTCGGCGAGTTGCTCTTGGCACTCGACGAGTCGGCAACCATTGTGCACCCAAACCCTTTTTAATGAATGGGTAAATGTTAGGAAGGAAGTCCCTTGTGGGTTTAGATGCGAAAAGGGACCTGGAAGTCATGGGACTCGACGAGTGGTATGAGTAGACTCAGCGAGTCCATAGCAATCTCCCAATCTTTGAAGATGGACTCAACGAGTTGTTCATACAACTCGACGAGTCATAGACTGGACAAGTTCTTAAGTTGGAGATGAACTCGACAAGTTGAAGAAGGAACTCGGCAAGTCGGATGAAGATGGTCCGGATGTTATGATTGAAGGAGAACCCATCGAGTTTTTGCTAGACTCGATGAGTGGAGTCGGGGCTTTGTGTGGGATTAAAGAAGCATGGACTCAACGAGTTGGTAGGCCAACTCGGCGAGTCAGGTCAACTGAATGTTGACTTTGACCAATGTTGACTTTGACCAATGTGGACTTTGACTGAACTTGGACTGACCATGTTAGGGTTGTATGTGATGGGTGTTGACTTGAAGGTTGTCATGTAGGGATCAAGGAGTCGTTAGGAGTCGACTTTTGCGTCGAGGATAGTTCAGACATTGTACGACGTTGAGGTGAGTTACCTTCCAGTAGGGGTGGGTCTAAGGCCACAATGTCGGCCTAGCAAAAAGGGGTATTTAAAAGATAATGGACTTTGTGATAATTATCTTGGTCTGGTTATGTGTTGGTTATGAGGTTTATTTAGATAGTATGTTATGTGTATGGTAGGGATTAGTTTCCCTGACAGTGGTCCTTAGGACCCAAGGGTAGGTCAGTATCTGGATATGCCTGACTGTATGCTTATATCTGTTGATTGTATGCTAGTGGTAGGGAATGAAATAGTCCCCAGTTACCGGTTGAAAGATACCGATGTTGATTACCGGTTGAAAGATATCGATGATGGTTACCGGTTGAAAGATACCGATGAAGGTTACCGGTTGAAAGATATCAACGATATTGTATGGTATGTGGTATGATGGGGGAACTCACTAAGCTTTGTGCTTACAGTTTTGGTTTTGGTTTCAGATACCTTTTCGTCGAAGGGGAAAGAGTTGGCGGTGTAGCAACGCATCACACACACACACATGTTTCCGCAAGAAGTTTTTGGGATTATACTCTGATTTTTAATACTTATGATGTTATGGTTTGAAATACAACATTATGATTTTGTAATGGAATGTTTTATTGATAAGGTTTTGGTAAAATGTTTATCAAATGCGTTAATTCAAAATGAAATTTTTTGCCTTGAAATTTGGGTCGTTACACAATAAATCCTCTCTGGTAGAATAACCAGAGTCTCATGGAGGGAGAGCATGAAACTTTTTGATAGATCTATTCGGGACCAACAATCCCACACCTGAACTGTTAGCTACAGTTAGGTGGGCACGGCTGGGGTGACAAATTTTGTAATCGTACGACACCTGAAGAACGTCAAGGAGGTCACCGGTTATATTAGTATGGTTATACGACTCACAATAAGTATAAACTAACCTTTATTTACGGGATTTCTTTCTTTTATAGTTTTATTTGAAGTAATAAAACTACCTACCTACCTACATACTGGAGGACATTCCAGGGACTCAACCTTTGGTTTTATTTTAAATAATAAAACTACTATAGTTACTGGTGATAGCCAGGGTTTTCGAATAGAACTTACGTTACGTACTGGTGGTAGCCAGGGTTTTCAAACAGAAAATACTTTTCATACAGAAACTAACAAACATGTTAGAAAATATTGGATTTTCTTGGCAAGCATGCATACGTATTTCAGAACATGATAACAACGGTTTTCGATATAATCAACCTTTTACTTATAATGGAAAGAAACTATTTATACAAATTCAGTGACTAGTTTTCAATACAAAAACATGCTTATGAACTCACCAGCTTTATGCTGATATATTTTCAAAATCGTTTGTATTCTCAGGGCAATGATAGACAGGTACCTTGCCAGCGTTTGGAAAAGACGTAGCATTTTTGGAGTCTCGTCCTTATCTTTTGCTATATATTGTTATGTACAAACTATGTTCTCAAGACAAATGTAAATATTCATATTATAATGTAATGGTTGTGTTTACTTTGATTGCTATGATACGATTGTTGTGATACTACGTATGGCGTTGTCGCCCCCGAACGTTTCCGTCGTTTTTCTGACGGTTCAGGGATGTGACACAAAATATTTATCGTAGTTCACACAATCAAATTGATTGCTACTTCTAAGAGAGAGAGAGAGAGAGAGAGAGAGAGAGAGAGAGAGAGAAAGAGAGAGAGATTAATGGCTACCGAATTACAACTTTTTATCTTAGGTTACAAATTCAATGAATCTATCTAGAGAAATTAAATATCCTTCTACATTTTATTCCTACTATTCTCTTACACACATTAAATGGTGACAAGTGGACTGAAATATTATCAATTTCATTAAATATGTTATTAAATATGTCACATGTCAACATTTTATAGGGTAGGAAGATAAATAGGAATATAATGTAGGAGGATATTTAATTTCTCATCTATTTATTCCAGCATGTTCATCTAAATTCTGTCAATAAGAATAAGCCGGAACTCTAATAAACTAACCCTTGATGCATTTTATGTCGAATCTGAGTTGTAACGAGGCTTAGTCTCTTGAGCAACAATGAGTTAAAAGCGAGAATTAAGCTCCACAAGTCAGCAAATATTTCTAAAGATATATTAAACATGTCAGAAAATAAAATAATAAATTCCGAAGGAGAACACAACAAAAATTGAATTGTATCCTTCAATGTTGTGCATAAGCTATCCTCTTAATACTTCATTTCGCTTTAGTCGTCCAACAAACTGTACTCAATATTGTTTAAGCAAGTATTTAGTTACATTAAATTAGATATATGCATGACATATAAAGAAAATTGCGGAATATTGAATACATACTTGTACAAATATGATGCGATGCCCAAAATTATACATAATAAGATGATGTCGATTATAAAGTTGCGTGTAGACCTCACCTGCATGTACACATAAACACATGCATCAAAGATCTACCACCAATTTTCCATAAAAACTTCAAGCATAATTAAGATGACTAATTACCTTTAAAAGAGTCTGCCTAAGTTTCACATTCGTGTTTCTAATATCACTTGTTACTTTGTCAACCTTATCTTCGATTTCATCCATTAAGGGGACTTGCTTATCTAATTCCTGCATAAGTTTTTATGTATTTAGCTAATATAGTTTATTAACATATAATGATGAAAAGGTAAAATAAGGATGGCTAATTAATTGATCAATTAAACAACCTCGTTCATTTCATGAGCTAAATTCTTGAGTGTATCAAGACCTTCTGATATTACGTTTAAGCCTTCATCCTGTTTTATCTTCCTCATTTCATACTCTGATCTAAATTGGCTTGATTCTTCGCTTCGTTGGAAATAACTATCTCCAAAGATACGATCTACGCTTACTGGATGATGTGTTGAAATAAAATTAAATAAACATAATAAACATAAAATAATTAACAAGGATCCATGCCATGCAACCTGTATCAAACTTAATCTTATTTGTAGCAGATGTAGACGCATTTGACAGTAATGTGGTACTGGTTCCATCAGGTATTTCTTGAATCCTCTCTGGTAGTGCAAGAACCACATCACATCGAGCTATTAATTCCTCTCTTGATAACCCTTTCACCTGTACGTAACTCCATTAATGTGTGTCATCGATCTTTGTTGTAATTGTTTAATAGAAGAAAAGAAAGACAATTCGAGACCTTCTTTTTGGCAAGCTTTTCTAGTTTGGGTACTTCTTCCATCAATCTAACTTTCATTCTTCTAATCTCAGCGTTCATGGCGACTACAGTAGCTCTATTTGTCTCCATCGATGCCTTTTCTGATTTCTAAAAAGAATAGACGAGATCAAAACTCAAAACTGGTACTCAATTGAGACGATAATTATACAGTAACACAAAATAAATTAGCGATTAATTGTACACGTAAAGCAGCTTCAATTTGAGAATCTAAGGAAGCGAGTAGAGAGGCAAATGCATCATCTCCATAAGCGTTGAGCTCACGTTGCTTATCAATGTCGTACTTTTCATATTTCTTGCATATTGCATCGACACGAAACATGATATCAATCAGACTCATAATGTTTTTAAGGAAAAGTGGCGTTTGATTGAGAAAGGAAAAAAGAAAAAGAAATTTTATAGTTAACTCCCTTGTTTCTCTCTATGTGATCACCGGTAAAAACACAAACATTCTCCGGATGATGAGGACAACGAGGGACACTTCTTATTTCTTTTTCGTTTAAGTTTTAACACTCAATTTTTAATTTCCTATATTTTGAAAATCGAATGTAATTTTATTGGCACACCTAGACAACCTAAAAATATACTAATAATTCTTACTCACGTCTTGACTCTTATCATTTTAAATTGACTTTCTTTATGTTTTAGATCTTCTCCTCCTATTTTACAATAATTACAAAATCAAATTTTATAATTTGAGTTATTATTTTTTGTTTTAATATCCAAATAATCATATACTATATTAGTATGAAATTAAAACATATTGAAATAAATATATTTTATGATAATATGAATTCTTTATTTTTAACATTCTAAAATAAGTAATGGTGTAAATGTTTATATCTTGTCCGATAAAATAAAAGTATTACATCATATGAATCAAATAACTATAATATAAAATTGAAAAAGTTAAGGAGCATATATATATATATATATATATATATATATATATATATATATATATAGAGAGAGAGAGAGAGAGAGAGAGAGAGAGAGTGTGAGAGAGATAGAGAGAGACTTTTTTATGACATTTAAGTGTCTAATTGTACATCATAAAATGTCGGATTTTAAACAGTATATTGTGCAAGTGTTGTAATCAAATTCATTTTTTATATAGTTATAAAATAGGTTCTGTAGATAACACTACAAGAAATCAAAGTATTAGCGGCGACACCTAGCAATAGCGGCGACATGTAAATGATGCGTTACATGTCGCTGCTATTGCTAGGTATCGCCGCTAATGCTTTGATTTAGTGATCAGCGTCATTTTCACCCAATCCGTCCGATTTGTTTTCGATCTAACAGTTGTTGAGGAAAGCAGAAAGGCGCGCTGACTTCTCCCTCCACTTTTCGCCGCTAATGCCCTAGTATCGCCATTATTGTCCTAGCGTCGCCGATAAAGCCCATCGTCGTTAATGCTAAACGCAGATATCCCCTTCACAGATTACCTTTCTGCCATTTTTTTCCTTACCTTCCACCTTCCTCTCGTTTTTCTCTCTTTCTTTCTTCAATATCACGAATTTTTTCCAACTTTGTGGACTAGGAATTGCTTCTTGGACCGGTGCTAGCCTCTCCTTCCCCCCAGACAGCCAAAAACCGGAGACATTTAGCCAAATTCCGAAATTGCCCCAACCAAGGTCGAATTTCTCATCTTTTTTTATGATTTTTCTATTTTTGTTTTAATTTAGATGATAAATTGTGAGTATTTTTCAATTTTATTGAGTGATTATGTTTGTATTTTGAGATATGAAGTGGTTATGCATTTTGTTGGATTATTTTGTTGGTTTGTGTGTTTTTTCAGATTTTTGGGAATTTAATTATGCATTTTGTGTATATTTTAAAATTTATGTTTAGATTACATTGATGTATAAAAAAAATTACATGAATATATACATTTGTTGGATTGAAATTTATGTTTATACCACATTGCTTTAAAATGAAATTTAGATGTGTATATATATATATATATATATATATATATATATATATATATATATATACATACATACATACATACATACATATATATATATATATATATATATATATATATATATATATATATATTTGTATGAAATTGGTTGAAATTGGAATATGCAAATTAGATGTATACATTTGACTTAAGTGTATGAAATTGAATGAAATTGGAATATGCAAATTGGATTAAATTGGAATATGAAAATTGTATGAAATTGGATATATACATTTGGCTTAATTGTATGAAATTGGATGAAATTGAAATATGCAAATTGGATGTATACATTTACCTTAATTAGGTTATTAATAGCAACTTACTTCTCGTAATGTATTGTATATGGTTTCAAAGTGCTTAATTTTGTTAGTGACTTGATGTTTGTCCAACTTAATAGCAACATACTTTTAGTGACTTAATGTTGGTCATTACAACTTTAGCTGTAATTAGGTTATTAATAGCAACGTACTTCTAGTAATTTTAATTTAATTATAGAATAAAATTAAATTAATTTAAAAAAAATTAAAAAAATAATAAATTAGTTGTAAAATCAACTTAAAGTAGTTTTAAAATCAAGTTAATGTTAAAATTAAAATAAAATAAAGTTAGTTTAATAAATTAAACTAATAACAAAAAAGAAAATATTAAATTAATTATAAAATCTAATTAATTTACCTTTAGAATCAAATTAAATTACCTTTATAAAATCAAATTATATTAATTATAAAACTAACTTAATAGCAACATACTTTTAGTGACTTATTGTTGGTCATTACAACTTTAGCTTTAATTAGGTTATTAATAGCAATGTACTTTTAGTAATTTTAATTTAATTATAGAATAAAATTAATTTAATTTAAAAAACATTAAAAAAATAATAAATTAATTGTAAAATCAACTTAAAAGTAGTTTTAAAATCAAGTTAATGTTAATATTAAAATAAAATAAAATTAGTTTAATAAATTAAACTAATAAAAAAATATTAAGTTAATTATAAAATCTAATTAATTTACTATTATAATCAAATTAAGTTACCTTTATAAAATCAAATTAAATCAATTATAAAACCAACTTAATAGCAACTCCTTGAGTTGTTGCATTCAGCATTTCCACCAGACAACAAGGTTCCCCGTTCATATAATTTAGCAAAAAAGAAACTGAAGAAGTTAGGTTTGGGGTACGAGTCAATTCACGTGTGCAAAAACAATTGTTTTCTCATCTGGAAGGAACACAAGTCATTGCAAGTTTGTCCCGTTTGTAAAGAGAGTCGGTGGTATATGAAAAAACTAAAACACTATGTCAGAAATAAGGCGAGGCCGGAAGGTTGTATAGCAGAAGGTTATATTGCTGAAGAAGATTTGATATTGTGTTCGATGTACCTTCGAGATGTCAATCGCCTTGAAAGAAACGAAGACGTTGTCAATGAAAAAACAAAGTTTTGGATGTTTAAGTCCAAGTGTCGACCGACGAGCGCAACGCAAATCAAACATCTTGATATAACGGAGAAACGTAATATTGAATGGTTTATATTGAATAGTTGTCAAGAAGTCAGACAATACATCGAGTAAGTGTTCTTACTCTTAATTGTCTTTCATTATTTATTGTTACTTTTTTCCATTCATCAATTTAATATATATATATATATATATATATATATATATATATATATATATATATTCATCAATATAGAAAATTCAAATCTGAACATCCTGAAAGTGACGAAAAGACCGAATTTCCCAACTGGTTTCTTGAAAAGGTAATCATATCCATAATCAAATAATACTACGAGATTTGGGCCCCGCCCACACTCGGATACTATGAGATTCAGGCCCAGACCACACTCAGCTACTAAAGTATCACATATATGGGCCGGCCTACTGAAAGAAAACTCACCTCGCACTGCTGAAGTCCCACAAATAAATCTCAGGCTACTGGCTGACATATCCCCAAGTTGTCAACATCAAAACAAAACCTAATTAACCATTTAGTATAAAACAGATTTACGTATGAAAATGTTCATTCGTTCTTGTATATGAAAATATCTCTTTGATATGGTACTTGTAGTACGTAAAATTTCATGAATAGCTAGTAAACTATCTATGTAATCGTATCCCTTCATATAGTATGTAATGTGTTCGTATGTCATATAGTATGTAATGTATGAGTTTAGACTCATGAAATAACTGACTATTGTGTGATTCCTTGTATTTGGAATAGTAAGTAGTATCTCCTAACTATACCTATTATGGTTACTAGTATTGTACGTGTATAACCGAAGTATGCCTTTACTACCCGAAGGTACTGAACCAACTGACGGAACTTTTATGTCTATATATGTATACATGATATATATATATATATATATATATATATATATATATATATATATATATATATAACTAATATTTAGACGACATTCGGACGAATAACCGATGTCCTAAGGCCACATCCCAACGAGGAAAAAGAAATAAAGCAAGCTAGCCGTCCTAAGTCCTTTAAACATTACTTATATAGCTATGCGTATATGGGCAGGCATTTTACAATATAAAAGTATAAAAGAAGTTTTGTAATACTTTTTAAAAGATTAATAACGAAGAAATGATAACTTGATGTCAGTTTATAAAACGATTTGAAAGTAGTTTGTTTGATAAGAACAGTTTAAAGTATAACAAATCTTTTGTTTGAAACACAATTGTAACAGGCTTTCAAAGGAAACAGACAGTATGTAAGACAGTTTGTTAAAGAGTTTTAAACATGTATAAAAGCTTGAGAAAGTCATTTGAAGTAATTTGTTTGGTAAAACAGCTAAACATGTAGTAAATCCATTTGTATACTAGTTATAAATCCAATATGATTGATTAATTAACAGCAAGTATAGCAAAAGATTGATGTTTTTCGCACGAGGATAATCGTATGTTTTCTTGTATTCCCCCCCCCCACCCCCACCCCCCTTAAAAGTGTATAAAATCATTTATAAAGTATTTGAAAATATAGTTGTAAGGGTATGAACTCACTTGATAGACTGAAGAAAGCGAGACGAAAACCGAGCAGAACTTCTACTCGAGAAAGCGGATTTCTCGGGATTCTAGAGAATCTCGGGAGCATAAAACTTCCTTCCCAACTTGGATATGAAAATTGGGACTTCGGGATGGCTCCGAGGGTTTAAACATGGAGCTTCGGCACGAGAAAGAGAAGAATTGAGCAAAAATGTTCGGCACCCTCGCATCCCTTTTATAGGGGCTGAAAGCCTCGCGTACGCGGGGTGTACTGGAGAGGGTACGCTGGGCGTACGCGACGTCATCACTTACCGCATCCTTGGGTGAAGCATCGAAGCGACGTGGACGAACCGGAGCCTAGCATCCGAGTACGTTGGGCGTACG